GGATTGCATGGTAGTTTTATTTCTGAGAAATTCAATATATTTTAAAAACAATTTTTTAAAAAAAGTTGTGGGTGGGATAGAGAGCTAGCCTCCGGGTCAGATAATTACGAACGTGTTTCTAAAGTATGTGGCTGGCTAGAAAGACAAAGGGAAACTGAGTGGTGTGCGGGACAATTTTTTGTTGTGTCAGGGTGTCCTATACTTTAAAGGACATTTAGCATCCCTGGCCTGCCATCTGTCAAATGCCAGGGGCCCCGGTCTTGTGACAACCACAGACTGGCCTCCTACATTTACAAGACGTCCTCTAGGGGGCGGTAGCGCTCTGGTCGAAAACAACGAGCTGGCACCAGCTCCCTGCTTTTTAATTTAACTCTGTCTTTGAGACTGTTTTATATCATAATGTGGAACTCTGCATCTCTTTCCAGACTGGGTGGTGATTGTCGTGTAGACGTACTGTCACTCAGGTCCCTCTGGATGGCATTCCGCTGTTACAAACAAGGCTGCAAGGACTGCAGAGTTGGGGTGTCATTTCACACCTGTGGAAGCCCATCAGCAGAGGAATTCTTAGAAGTGGCCTGGCTGGCTCACAGGGTTGGGCATGTGGAATTTTCATAGTTACAGCCAAATCTGCCTTCCACGGAAGTAGATGAATCTACATTCCCTGAGCAGAGCAGGAATGAGCCCTGCCCAGAGCTCTGGGAGTCAGGCTGGGGGTGGGAGTGGAGGGAGACAATTCTGGAAGGTCTTAGTCAGGACCCTTCCTTTCTGGGGGCCGGCTCCTCAGACCACATCCAGGGTCCCCTCAATGAAGCCTTTGGTGTTCAGAAACTCCCCAACCCACCCTCTCAGGCCTGGGGTGGGGAGGTCGGGTGGTGGGGGTAGGGTTGGTGAGTAGAGATGTCCCTTCCCAAGTGGTTTGATCCTAGCTATTATGGGTATCTTTTTAACCTTCAAAGAAAAAAAAAAAAAAAAAAAGACAGCTTTGTTGCTTTCTGATTCTTTAAGTATTTCAGAGGGAAAAATTTCTTTCCCCCCAACTTTTTTTTTTCCAACTTTTTGTTTTGAAAACTAAAAACTTCAGACAAATTGCAAGAATGGTACAATGAGCACCCATATACCCTTCACCTTGATTCACGCATTGCTCACATTTTGCTACACTGGCTTTATCTCTCTCTATTTTGAAACTAAGTTGCAGCCACTCAGCCCTAAACACCTTAGTGTGCATTTCCTAAGAACAAGGACATTTTCTGGCAAAACCACAGTCTGGTTATCACACTCAAGAAATTTAACCTTGATGACGTAAGATCTACTGTACAGGCCTTATTACATTTTCTCCAGTTGGCCCAATAAAGTTTTCTGTAACTCACCCACGCCTCCCTGCCCTCAAAGTCCTATCAATATTTCTGACTTGAGGGAGGCCTGGGTGGCTCAGTCGGTTAAGCCGCTGCCTTCTGCTGAGGTCATGATCCCAGGGTCCTGGGATAAATCCTGTATTGGGCTCCTTGCTTGGCAGGGAGCCTGCTTCTCTCTCCACCTCTGTCTGCCACTCTCCCTGCCACTCTGCCTCCTTGTGCACTCTCTCTCTCTCTCTCTCTGACAAATAAATAAAGAAATAAATATCTTAAAAAAAAAATCTGACTTGGCATTTAGCTCTAAGCCGGGAGTTTGGATTTCTCCTCTGCAGCTCGGTGGGCCTGCTGCTGTGGGGCCGGCCTCCAGGAAGGCAGCTCCAGGTGGGAACAGTGCTGGCTGTGAACTCACAGGTGCAGGCGGGGTCCACGAGAGGAACCTAAGCCCTACTCGAACCCCACACATGTCTTTCTAGGCCCTGGGGGTGCGAGCTGGGAGTGGGGTTGGGGAGGACACTGTCCTGCCGCTGGGCTTGCTGGGGAAGAATTCATTCTCACAATAAATTACCTTCCGTTTCTGTCCCTTTTTCAGTGTCAGGCAAGGACTTGTCCATCCATCCCCACAACAGCTCCTGGCACTGGTACTGTTTTCTCCCCTTTTACGATTGAAAGGTGTTTCTGTTTTTCCATCTGACGAGGAGGCCAGTGATGGCCACAGGGGGCCACATGCTGCCTCTGGAAGGACCACTGGGTGTGTGGTCAGTGTGAACCATGGCCAAGTGAGCCAAGACAGTGGCTGTTTCCTCCTCAGGTCTCCAGGCTTGGGCATCTCAAGGCTCCTGCTCCCGCCTGCAGCCGCCATGACCATCCTTAGGAGAGACAGCCCCCAGCTCCAGCGGTGCCTCATTGCCCAAAGATCACCTCTCCTACCTGCCCAGATGGCTGCCACGATGGGCTTTGGTCGAACCAGTGAGTGATGCCTCAAGGCATTCCTCTGTGGCAGAAGGCAGGGACTGTGATCTGATCATCTCTGGGGTCCTGACGGGGCCACAGAACCATTTGTCGACTCTTGACAGGGCTTTCACAGACCAGAGTTTAGTTAGAGTTTGTAAATTGGGCGGGATTATTTGCAGATAAGGAAACTGAGGTGTAGCAACAAATCTCAAAAGCATCCTATCGCAAGAAGAAAACCAGAAATGGAATGCAAGCCCCTTATTCTGCTGTGGGGGGGAAACTGAGGCTCAGAGATAACCAGACCTGGTTCCTGACCACTACTTTACAGGGCAGGAAGGGGTGAAGGGAATTATTACTCTTTGTGCCTATTTTGGTTCTCTAAAGGGCCTTTCCAGAACTTTCTGTGATACAGTTCAAGTGGTGGTGTTGGTGTTGGTGTTGGGGGGAATCAATAATAATGATGACAGCAATAATAATAATAATAGTCATTGAGTGTTTGCCATATGATAGACAAGGGTCCAAACACATTACAGCTACTAACTAATTGAATTCTCAAACAATTCCTGTGAGGTGGGTGTATTATTATCCCCATCAGCTCATTTTATAAAGAGGGAAACTCGGGCTTCGAGGAGGTAAGACATTTGCTAAAGGTCGCTCAGCTCCTGCAGGAAACAGCCAGGTCCCTGCCTTCCAGCGGCTCTGACCTTGAGGCAGACAAAGGCTGTCACCCTATGGGCTGTATTCTTGGAGTTCTTGAAGCCTGAGGCCCGACTAGATAAAAACTTCACAGGCGAGCAGAGAACCCAGGCTGAGCATGGGGTGGGTGGCAGCTCCTCCGGACTCAGGCAATTCTGGGTTTGAATTCTGGCTCTTTCATTTCAGTGACCTTGGTGCGATTGATCTCTTAGGCCTCCATTTTCTCATGGATAAAACAGAGATTGCGCAGAAGTCTTGGTTCTGTTATACACTAGGAATCACTATGCCCCTGACCCTCAGTTTCCTCCTCTGTAAAATGGGGAGAGTGGCTGTGGGCTGGGAACTGTTCAGGTAAGCCATAACTTTGAGGCTGTGAAAGACCGAAATAGAAACTGGGTTATGGCCTTAACATACTGTTGATAAAATGATTTTGTGTAATTTCATACCTCCACTGGATGGGGGAAAGGGAATGCAAAGGGCACCTTCTGTCCTGCCCTTTAGACCAGCGGCCCCTTCACCAGTTACTGTTTGCACTCTCCCGCCCCCGATCTTGGGCTGCTAAGCTTCTCGGAGCCGGAAAGCCAGTTTCAGGGAAAGCTGATGGTTGGCCCCTTAGAATCCACGTGCAAACCTCGCGGGCGCTGAATGGCTGGGCGGCTTAAGCCGGAGAACCTGGTGACGTCAAAGTCAAGGTCTGCCCTTCTTAAAGGCGCAGGCTCGCACCCCGTGTTCGTTTTTCTGTGTTGGGACAAATAATTAGGACCGCACAAAAGTTTTAAAGGCGAGGCAGGTGGCTGGCTTTCTGGTGCGGGACTTGCATGGGAAACAGATTTGTCTCCCTGAGAAGCGCGATCAGAGACGTCGGCGCAGGATTTAAGCCCACCTGTCGCCCAGGGAGGCAGCCTGGTGCAGGGTAAAATACCTGGAAGGTTCGAACTCCAGGCACTTAAACTTCGAGCCTCAGTTTCAGCTGCTGTAAAAAAGAACCAAATAATAATATACTTCTAAAAGTTTGGGGGCTTAGAAGTATTGTTGTGAGAGTAACCAACGGAAAAAATGTCAGACCCCTTCTTCCGTACTCAGTCCTCTCACTGTGCGAAGGAGGAACCCGAGGCCCAGAGTGGTGGTGTCACTTGCCCAAGGTCACGCGGTGGTGGGACTAAGACTAAGTTGAGTCCGGCTGACCCCGGGCTTCCTGGCTCCCGGGCCAACCTTTTCCCCGTCCCAGCCTGGGTGGCCCGAGTCGCAGCTCGTCTAATCCCAGCGCCCACGGGCGCACGGGACCCAGCGGTCTGCCGACTGGTTTTGGAACTGCGCCTCAGTGGATCACCTGTAAAATGGGGATAATGCTAATTCCTGTTTGGTAGGTCGCCATTATGTTGTGAAGCCTCAGCAGGGAGCCTGGCGGATAACTGTTTGTCATCACTAGTTGATATCCCCGTGGCCTTGGAAGAACTGATTCAAATCCCTGCCTCCTCGCAGATGAGGACACTGAGGAAGAGGCGGAGAGCGCGTTATCCACGCTGGCCCGGCAAGATAAGGGGAGCGCCGGGACTCTCGGGGCAACGCTCGACCAGGGCACTGTTGGGATGGAGTTTGTGAGAATACACAGTTAACTGCGGTGCTACCGCCGGTCACGCGCAAAGTGGAGACCCACGACCTTGCTTGGAGCGCTGGCCGGGCCGGGTACCCGCGGCGCAGCCGCAGCGCTGGGAGGGGGGCGCGGCGGGTCCGGGAGTGGCGGCTGGTGGGCGGGGCCGATGGAACTCCGGGCATGTAGCTGGTCGGCCGATGGAGGGCGGAGCCTCGCGGCGCGGTCCGGGGAGCGGGGCGGGCTTGGGTGCTTTCAGAGACGGCCTTGGTGCGGGGCGAGCGCGCGCGGACCGCACACCGGCCGCGGAGCCGCCATGGGCCCGCTGGGCCCCGGGCGCCGTGCAGCGCGAGCACTGGCCTGGAGTCAGGTGGGCGGAGCTGGACCGGGGTTGAGGGCCTGGCAGGGGGCGGGGGCGGAGATGGGCCTCCGGAGGTCCCGGGGAACCTGACCCGGGGTTTGGCTGGGGTCCCGGACTCTCGAGACGTCAGGCAGACCTGGTCGTCCCATCGGGCGGCCGCTGCGCGCGGGGCCGGGGTTGCTCCGAGGAGCAAGGGGAGATCCTGTTTTCGCACACCTTCTTCCCGCTCTCGTGGCCGAACCTCCGGCCTCTGTCTTGGGGAGAGAGAGCAGAGATTGTCCTTCCCATCCAGGCCTAAGGGCCTGGCCCTTCCGGCCTCGGGAGGGTGCGGGAGGGAGGGCCGGGAACCCAGCCTTCAGTTCCGAGAGCGGGCGGTCTTTTCGCGGCCATCAGATTTGTTTACATGTTTCCCCCATCGCTCGGCCCCACCTTCCACTCCCGGTTACGGGGCACAGAAGTGCCCGCCTCGGGAGTGGGGGGCTTAGAAGGATGGCTCAGGCGTTTGATCGATCTTTGGGTTCTCAGGGCCAGACGGGGCGCCTTCCCCAATGAGGGGGCACAGTAATTCCGTGTTACTCACAAGGGGGAATGACAGTGGACCGTTGTTGTTTCTTAACCAATGAGTAACTACGCAAGTTTCTTTCCTATCTACTCCCAGAGTGACCTTGTTCAGGTGGTTTCACCTCTCTGAATCTGTTTCTCCACTGGCAAAGTAGAGCTGACTAAATTGCTTTAAAAGGTAATTGTGGGGACGCCTGGGTGGCTCAGTTGGTTAAGCAGCTGCCTTCGGCTCAGGTCATGATCCCGGCGTCCTGGGATCGAGTCCCACATCGGGCTCCTTGCTCATCGGGGAGCCTGCTTCTTCCTCTGCCTGTGCCTGCCATTCTGTCTGCCTGTGCTTGCTCTCTCTCCCTCTCTCTCTCTGAC